TGATCATGTGATATTTGGCATCACATACTATTTGTATTCCAAGATATCGCTTGTTTATCAAGTTAAAATTTATTAGAAATGTTTGCTCATCTTGCAGAACACTCACAGAAGAAGTTACTCAGAATCCCAGGTTTTACTACTTTCTCTGTCCTAGAGTTAAATCCAGTTCCATTACCAACTTCCTTGATTTGGTTTCTCAGTGTCCCCTTGTTCTCCATGAAGGCCAACTATTAATTAGTTTGAACACTAAGAAACACTTACTATTCAAAAAACAGTTCATCTGGTCATATGTTTATTTCAGAGATTTGCAAACTCACTACAAGTATGGAAGGCAGCATCTTCCAGAGCAAATTTGTGCCCAGTGGGAACATCCATCCCTATGTGGGCATATCTCTATATGCTGTTGAATCAGTATCCTCTGAGCCTAAGAAAACAGGTTGTGTACCGAAGTTATAGTGTCTTGAAAAGAAAAACTTTTTTTTTTGCTACTTTTCTATTCTCTGTTTCTATGAATTTGGCTTTTTTAAAGATTCACATATAAAGTGATACCATGCAGTATTTTTTTTCCCCTCTGGCTTATCTCACTTGGTATAATGCACTCAAGCTCCATCCATGTTGTCACAATTGGCAACATTTCCTTTTTTCTCATGGCTGAATATTCCATTATATACTATACCACATCTCCTTTGTCCATTCATCTACTGATGAGCACTTGGGTTGTTTACATATCTTGGCTATTGTAAGTAATGCTGCAATGCACATAGGAATGCAAATATTTCTTCAAGATCCTATTTTCATTTCCTTTGAAGATATGTGGATATTTAAAAGTGGGATTCCTGGATCATATGGGAGTTCTATTTTTAATATTTTGAGGAACCTCCATATTGTTTTCCATAGTGCCTGCACTAACTTACATTCCCATCAGCAATGTTTTGATTATAGGCATCCTAACAGGTGTGAGGTGATACCTCATTGTGGCTTTGATTTGCATTACCCTGATGATTAATGATATTGATTCACCTTTTCATGTATCTGTTGATTTGTATATCTTCTTTGAAAAAATAATGTCTATTCAGTTTCTCTGCCCATTTTTTTTTTATATATGAAATTTATTGTCAAATTGGTTTCCATACAACACCCAGTGCTCATCCCAAAAGGTGCCCTCCTCAATACCCATCACCCACCCTCTCCTCCCTCCCACCCCCCATCAACCCTCAGTTTGCTCTCAGTTCTCAACAGTCTCTTATGCTTTGGCTCTCTGCCCATTTTTTAAATCAGATTTTTTGTTTGCATTGAATTGTATGAGTTCTTTATATACTTTGGATATTAACCCCTCATCAAATATATGTTTTGTAAATATTTTCTCCCATTCTGTAGATGGCATGTTTGTTTTGTTGGTTAATTTTTACATATGGTGTAAGATAGGGGTTCAGTTTCATTCTTTTGCATGTGAATATCCAGTTTTTCCAACACCATCTATCAAAGAAACTATGCTTTTTCCATTATATATTTTGGCCCCTTTGTTGAAAAGTGCCCACATATACATGGGTTTATTTCTGGGTTCTGTATTCTGTTCCATTGATCTATGTGTCTGTTTTTATTCCAATACCATAAGTTTTTATTACTATAGCTTTAAAATTAATATTATTTGAAACCAGGAGATATCATGTTTTCCATTTTGTCCTTCTTTCTCAAGATTGCTTTGCCTACTTGAGGTTTTTCATGTTCCATACATATTTTAGGATTGCTTTTTCTATTTCTGTGAAAATACCATTGAACTTTCATAGAGATTGCATTGAATCTGTAGAAGTCTTTGTGTAGTATGGACATTTCCACAATATTAATTCTTCCAATTCATGAGCACAAAATATCTTTCTATTTATTTGTTTCTTTTTCAATTTCTTTCATCAACATCTTAGTTTTCAGTGTGTAGATCTCTCACCTCCTTAGTTAAATTTAAGCCTAATTATTTTATTTTTTTTGGTGCAATTGTAAATGGGATTATTTTCTTAATTTCTCTTTTTGATAGTTTATTGCTAGCGTATAGAAATGCAACTGATAAGTGTATATTGATTTTGTATTCTGCAACTTTATTGAATTCATTTATTAGTTCTAACAGGTTTTTTTGGTAGAGTTCTCAGGGTTTTAGAAAACTACTCTTTTAATATGAATGGATGAAGACACAAAATGATTCTCAGATGGTTAGCTATTGTTCAGATTGTTTCTATGGAGAATATATTCGCAAATTTTTACCATGTGTTGTAGACTCTGTCCTCTACCCCTGCAAAGCTGAAAATGAGCAAAACAATGAAAGGAATAGATTTGCTCTTGCTATTGATTTATGTACCAACAGTAAATTAGACTTCTTGTATATAAGTACCTTTAGAACAAGGAGTGCTTTTAAAGGCATTAGCAAACTCTTTTCTTCAGCGCTTTATGGTATTCTATTACTGCTACTCTGTCACACTATAATTAACATCTTGTCAGACTTTCTATTCTAAACCAAGATAAGCATCACTGAATATCTTGACTTTCAAAACTTCATGGGACTGAAATTTTCTATTCAAGGTGTCAGACATGGTTAAGTCGTAGGTGTTATGGCAGGTCAGGAGAGGGCACGGGGGTTTTATTTGGTGTTGCATTGTCTTAGTATTATTTTATGAAACTATTTTTTATTACAAGGTAACAAAATGTTAAGAAGCTGAAGATTGGGTTGGATTTATTGTGTTTCTACTGTCCATATTTATATAAATTAAGGTCATATTACCTGTTCTGTAGCTCATTGTAGAATTATGTAGCAATCAATTTGTGGATTATTTATTGTATATATATGTACATGTGTCTATTTATATGTGTTCATTGGCCTTACCTAACCAAATGTGGTCAGATTTTTGCTGGCAGAGTACATATCATAGGGATGTGAAAATGAACAAGCAGGCAGATAAAATAGTTTTTCAGGTCCAGAACAAAGAGCAGAAGCCCCAACTTTCTGGTCCCTTCTTTCCTCTTTGGTATTAGAACTTGCCAAGAAATTGATGTGGTTTTCAGTATCAGACCAGCCTTTCAAAAACAGTTGGGTAATACAGGACCTCTTGAACCCTCTCCTGACAACATCCTTAGCAATGAAGTTTCTATTTATCTAGTGCCTACGATATGCCGGGCACAGTATCAATATCCCTTATGTAATATCCCAGCTAGATATTATCTTCATCTAGAGATGAATAAATAGATCCTCAGAGAGGTAAGTGACTCGGTCAGGAGAATGTATATAGTATGTGGTCAGCTAAGTTTTAAACCTTTACTGGATTCTTTTTCATTGTGGTAAGACCACTTAACATTAGATTTACCCTGTTGACAAAATTTTAGGTGAGCATTACAGTATTATTAACTCTAGGCACAATGTTGTACAGCAGATCTCTGGAACTTACTCATCTTCTATAACTGGAACTCTATATCTGTTGAAGAGCAACTTCCCACTTCCTCCTCTCCTCCCCTCTGGCGACTATGATTCTGTTTTGTTTCTCTCAGTTTGACTGTTTTAAATACTTAAAATATGTGAAGTCATGGAGTATTTATCCTGTGCATGGCTTATTTCACTTAGCACAATGTCTTCCAGGTTCATCATTCATGTTGCTGCATATGTGGAATTTCCTTCTTTTTTTTTAAGGCTGAATAATATTCTATTTTGTGTTTATACCACATTTTCTTTATCCATTCATCAGTGGATACATGGGTTATTTTCGTATCTTGGCTATCGTGAATAATGCTGTAATGAACACAGGAGCGCAGATATCTCTTCTAGATCCTACTTTCAGTTCTTTTAGATATATACCCAGAAGTGGGATTGCTAGATTATATGGTAGTTCTAGATTTAATTTTTTGAGGAACCTCCATATTGTTTCCCATAGTGGCTGCACCATTCTACAGTCCCGCCAACAACGTGCAAATGTTCCAAAACCTCCACATCTTTGCCAACACATGTTATCTTTGTTTTGTTTTACTCTGTTTGGTAATAGCAATTCTAATATCTTGTGATTTGGTTTACTTTTCCCCAGTAATTATATCTAATTCTAAAATCCATGTTTTGCTCATGCTTCCATACTGCCTTCCCTTAAACATACTTCCACATTTTCACTTTCCTCAAAATGGACATCACCAAGCACCTTTTCTGTGCTTTGTCATCTTTATAGGATCACAGGAGGGCCCGGGAGTGGGTCCAGACATCTACCCCTGAAAGGACAAATTGCTAGCTTCTCCTGCTATCTTAAGTTGGTGGTAATTATTATTTCCTTCAAATCAGCCCTTGGTGGTATGTCTGACAATAGATGTCAAATAAAAGAAAGCGACAATTCAAGTGGTGGTTTCTGTTATCAGGCTGCGCAGAAGATATGAAGAAACACTCATGCTGTGCACTCTCCCTCCCTCTAGTGGTTAACTAAACTCAAAGAAATTTGTGCTAGTATTAAATTATTTTAGGCTAAAATATATGTTGTCAAAAATTGTTTATTTTTTTTTATTTTTTTTTAATTTTTTTTTTCAACGTTTATTTATTTTTGGGACAGAGAGAGACAGAGCATGAACAGGGGAGGGGCAGAGAGAGAGGGAGACACAGAATCGGAAACAGGCTCCAGGCTCTGAGCCATCAGCCCAGAGCCTGACACGGGGCTCGAACTCACGGACCGCGAGATTGTGACCTGGCTGAAGTCGGACGCTTAACCGACTGAGCCACCCAGGCGCCCCTGTTTGTTTTTTTTATGTTACATACCGAGTTAAACATTGAACAACTTACCAAAAATGAATTTAATAATTCTGGAATTCAAAATAGTGTTCAGTCTGATGGTTTGGGATTCTAGACACGGTGTTTTGATAGATTTGTGCTTTTATTTGACATTTTAGGAGATGGGAAATATGACGTGGTAAAAACTGCCTCTAATACTTTTTAGTATGGGATTTCAATGCAGGACACATTGTGTTATTCTTGAAACACAATGAATTTTAAATTGTAAGCAAAATTTCCTTCAAGGACTGTTTTAATTCTTCTTGTTCCTACAAATTAGTAGCATTACTAAGAGGAGGTATCATCTTTTTCTTTTGGTCTTTTAATATGTATGTTTTACCTGCTTTACTTCATATAGACATCCCAATTACTAGCAAGATGGTGTGTGTGAAAGTAGGAGAATTATAGTATTTTTTAGACCCATAACACTATCATCATCATTAATAAAAGTTTTATAAGAAAATTATTTATTTTATTTTTTATTTGCCAGATTTTTTTTATTCAATTACAGTTAACATACAGTGTAATATTAGGTTCAGGTGTACAATATAATGATTCAACAGTTCTGTGAGTTACTCCGTGCTCATCATCAGAAGTGAACTCAATCCCCTTCACGGGAAAGTCACTTTTAATATGAAATAAAAACATTTCTCTTTGAGATATGTTGTAGCTGATGGAGAACTTGACCTAGAATCACAGAAACCTAAATTAGGCTCCCTGAAGTACCTCTTTTTAGCTGTATGACCTCAAGCAAATTACTTAAATTAAACATCAGTTTACTCTCAGTTGTGGAGATAATTAACCATTGCAGGAGATTGCAGTGAGGACCAGACTTAATGGACATGAACCCACTTTTGCCCACTTTAAAGCATTGTATTACTATATAGTATTATTACTTACTATTTATTCCCACTTTAGAGTGAGATTGTATAAATCCAGCATTTGAAATACATTGTTTTTTTGCTTCATTTGAGAATGTATTTTTGAAAACAGTAAATTGTGCTGTAAACACTGCCAATTAAACCTTTATTAACAGTTGCATTTCCAGACTTACTGTCAAAAGCCTTTAAATTACCTTCAACATTTCCAGAGCAGATTTAATTAAAGACAATTTCTTTAGAGGCTACTAAGTGGGAAAGGGCCACTTCTGACAGATAAACGCACAAAACATTTTAAAAATAGGTTGCTGTGAACTCAGGCTGAGAGGCTTTTGAGAAATTGTTACTGGTGCCCTACTCCTATCACAAGTCATCTAAAATGTATGCTCAGATCTTTAAAAGGTAGTGGGCATAAAACTGAAGAGACAAGTATTATCAAGTTATATTCTAATAGAAAATATAATAGGTTTCAGTAAATAAAGACTATGTCATGTCATCATGACTATGTGTCAAGACACCATAAAAAAAAAAAAAAGTCAACTCCCTCAAATTTCTACTGAATGTGATGCCCCTGTTGGCTGGAGGGCGAGTTATGAATTTGTGTGGATTTGTGTGAATTATGGGTGCTGTTCATCTTGGTGATTCTAAGGCGTGAGATGCAGGAGAAAGATTTGATTTCAGCTCAGCCACTTCCAAGCTGTGAGCTTGGCTGAAACTCCCTTGGGTGTTCCTTACAAGATTACCCTCAGTGCCATGAAATCATGTGTAACTATCTTTGTAACAAAGCCCACAAGTGTTTCAAAAGTGTCAAATATGGCCTACTATCATTACCGTATCCAGGCAGAGACTTCTAAAACTGAAGAAGTCAACAAAAATGTCCGTATCACAAATATCCTAAAAATTTGAGTTGGAACCACTCTAAGTTCTTGCTTACCTGTCCACCACTCCCACTATCCGTGTCTTCTTTTCCTCTCTGCCTTGCTGCTTCCCACAGGACTAGCCAGAGGAGCTAAGCACCTTCTTAAACGTGGAGGTTCATGCTTTCTCTCTCTTCTTTGGTTTCCCAAGCCAAGAAATTTGCAAGGCCACTGAAGTCTTCATGTGCCCTCTCTGTGACAAGAACTGCTCACTGCAGAGACTCAATGAAAGCTGTATCTATGCCAAGGTGAGTGTGGACCCTTGCATTCTCCTTCCCGAGCTCTACTTTTTCTCAGAAGTAGGTAGGAAAAAGTGAAAACTTGAATAGATCATCATTCGGCAGCAATTATAAAATGAGTATATTTTTATTTGAATATTTTAGTCTTCCTTTGTTTTTATAACCGATTATTGTCATATGGACATAAACTTCCACTTGGAATGACATATAGATTCTTTTTAGGAGAAGACGATTATATCTCTTGCTAATGATTAAATTTCCATCATCCATGAATACTCATTACAACACTTTTAATTTTAGGGGTACCTGGGGCTCAGTCGATTGAATATCCAACTCTTGATTTCAGCTCAGGTCATGATCGCAGGGTTATGGGATCGAGCCCTGCACTTAAGATTCTCTCTGTCCCTCTGCCCCACTCCCCAGCTCATCCTCTCTCTTTCTCTAAATAAAAAATAAAATCAAACAAAAAACCCCAATACTTTAATTTTACAAAAGAAAGGAAACAATATACTAAAAATTCTCAAGTCGCTGCCTATTAAGATAACCTGAAGGCTCTTAAAACTTCTGAAGCCCAAGCCACACCCCAGAGAAATTAATTAAATCAGTATCGTTGGGTTTGGAACATAGACATCCATCTATTTTAAAACTTCCCAGATGATTCCCATGTGCATACAAGTTTGAGAAACTGAATTTTACAATGATTATTGTTTATATTTAAAAGTTTTATTGAAGTATAATTAACATATAATAATATGTACACATCTAAAGTGTGTAAATTGACACATTTTGATGTTATATATGCACCTGTGAAACCATCACCCCAAGAAAGATAATGGACATATAATCACTTCCAAAAGTTTCCTCATGGCCTCTTGTAATCCCTGCCTCCCTCTCCTCCCCAGTTCCACCCCTGTGTCCAGGCAACCAACTGCTTTCTGTCTTTATAGAAAAGTTTGTATTTTCTAAAGACTCTTATGTAAATGGAATCGTACAGTTTGTGGGTTTTTTTCTGGCTTCTTTCACACAGCATAGTTATTCTGAGATTCAACCATGTTGTAACATTTATCAGTAGATCTTTTCTTTTTATTGCTGAGGAGTATTGCATTACCCAGCTATGCCAGAATTTGTCTATCTGTTTATCTATTAATGGACCCGTGGGTTGTTTTGAATTACCATTTTACCTAAAGCTGCTCTGAACATTCATCTACAAATCTCCATATAGGCACTGTTATTTCTCTTGGGTAAAAACCTAGGACTAAAATGATTAGATTATATGATAGGTGGGTGTTTAACCTTCTAAGAAACTGCCAAAATGTTTTCCAAAGCATTTATACCATTTTACATTCCTATCCACAGTATATGAGGGTTCCAGTTTTCCATACAGTCACTAATCCCCAGAATGGCTAGTCTTTTTTATTCTAACTATTCTAATAGATGTGTAGAGGTATTATAATTTAGTTACTTGGAAATAATTTGGTCCTTTTGGGCCTTGCTTTTTTTTAAGTTTTATTTATTTTGAGAGAGAGAGAGAGAGAGAGAGAGAGCCTGAGCAAGGGAGGGACAGAGAGAGAGGGAGACACAGAATCCCAAACAGGCTCTGTGCTGTCAGTGTAGAGCCCAATGCAGGGCTCCATCCCATGAACCCTGAAATCATGGCCTGAGCCAAAATCAAGAGTCAGATGTTCAACTAACTGAGCCACCCAGGTGCCCCAGGTCTTGCTTTTAAGATTTGTAAGGTAGGTTCATAGCAGTACTGTAACTAGCATGATTTTTTCCTTGCAATGAAAGCAAGATCTGGCCGTGTACTGTAGCAACTGCACTGCAAATAGAGGGTTTCCAGTCTGGCTGGTGGGAATGGGCTCACTAATAATCCTTTCAGGTGGTTCTTTCCTCAAGAGGTTTCCTCACGGACACGCTCACTGGGCACTGTCTGGGGTGCCCATGTTTACATCCTACGAACTCTTTCCGTGCAGTAATCTGAGGCAGTTGTAATGCTCACCTCACGTGTTTCCTTCCTCCCAAGGATCATTGATGGCTCTTCCTGCCTAGTATCCACTATCTTGAAATCTGTTGCTTATGTATTTTGTGCATTTTTTGTTTCCAGAATGGGGATAAAATCAATCTCAGTTACTCCATCTTGTTGAAAGTAGAGGTCTCTATACAATGAAGTTTGATGAGGCAGAGTATAAAATCAGAAGTCACTCAATACCCTACTACAAGCCCAAACCTAGTAAAATTAGCTTCTGGATAGTTCATTGTGAATACAAGGCATAGGAAAATCTGTTTTGTTTATAGTTTAGTTTATAAAATTATACTTAGTTTTGAATTTGTTTAAGTGTTCCACAAAGATGTCTTGTTTTGGGAAGCATTTTCTCAATACGTTTTGCAAAAGCCACATATTAAAGTTATGAGATGTAGAGATACATGTCCTCCTAACCCATGCGTTTCAAGGATATATGACAGCCTTAGGGATACCAACAAATCCATATATATTTTACTTCTACTTTTACTTGTACAGAGTTAATAAGACACACTAGCAGTATCTGAACACTAAAAATAAGAAACACCCCTAATGGCAGAGTGATAAAGCAAAGAAACTGTCAAAGGAAACACTAAATATAGGAGGCTTTTTGTCATTATGCAATATTAGTAGAAAAGAGTATGTATAGGGACAGGTATGACTAAGAAAGAATTCAGTTAATAACTATTTTAAGGAAGGTGGAAAAGTTACCTTGCAGAGGAGAATATTGTGTTCTGGAACAATGCAAGAAATAAACGCCACCAGGAAGAAATATTGAATATGTATTATATATGTTTCTCTGGCTAAGATAAAATGTAAGTACTTGTTTCATACATTAAAAATAAGAATTACTATTCTTTCATTGATGGAAATAATGTTCTTTTTTAAAAACGGTTTATAAACTTACACATCTAGAAGTTATTTGAAGGGAAGTGTCAGAAATAAAGGAACAGATGATTACCAAAAAACAGGCCAGACAATCTAGGATCATCTGGCCACGTCTTCTAGAAACTTGCTAATTTGTTGTGGAGTCATTCACCACTTGTGACAAGTAACAGAAAATTAAATCTGTCATATTTTATTGAAAAGTATGCATGTGTACATGTAATTATTTTAATAATTTAAAGGACGTATTTCATGGAACAAAAATGGTCCCATCATATGATAAAAATTTTATTTAAGTACATTAACATTTTCTTTGATGATTATTTTCAATTTTAATCCTTAAAAATATGGTAATTAAGAAATTTTTGCAATTAAGTAATTCAGTGATGTTTGCACATTTATTTAAAAGCACCTAACACCACAATGTCAGTTAGCATTATGGTAGGATTTCTCGGTTAAGGTGCTATCATTGGATAGAAGAGTTCTGCATTGTTTTCTCATATAATTTTAAAAGTGCCTCAACCCTCGAGGTGAGCTTTGTTCATAATAGTTATTAGTTTCTGGGTTTTTTTAACTTAATAAACTTTTACTCAATACCAAATATGAGCTCAGACCATATACTTATATTGAAGCTACAATAGAAAGAGGACAGAGTATTTTTTCTTTAAGAAACTTCATAGAAAAGTGGGTATGGGATCACATAAGACATTTGTTAAAAAGTAGATTCTCGGGCTCCAAGTCCTAAAATTCAGAATCGATTGGTCAAGATAAGGCTTAGAATTCTGCATGTTAACAAGCTCCTTAGTTGATTTCTAGGACCACATTTAACAAAGATATTGCCCTAAATAATAATGGATCAGGAATGGAGAGGAGGTTGGGTGTGGACTACTGATGTTTCCATGTTTGATGCAGCTTGTAATCAGGTGGAGTGGACATAGGCAGTTACACAGATTTTGCCCTGTCTGAGAATGAAGGACTGAGGAAGTGAGAGGCATGAACTCCAGCTTAAATTCCAACTCCTTTCTCCTCTTTGCACATAATAGCCTGGTCTGCAAGGTTGAATCTGCCCAAGAAGTGCCTGTTCTCCTTGGCCCACAGGGGCTTTAATGGAGTATCAGTGGCAGTTTCCACATGCTTATTATGCTCCTCTGAACCCGTCAAACAATTTTAGAGACAGACCCAGCAACTACGGTAGAAGAGGAATAGTCTGTAAGCTTCCAACCTAGTAAGAAATTTACCTCTGAACAATACCCACATTTATTGGTTTCTAGCCACACTCAACTCTCCAAGAGAAATCAGATGTCAAAGATAATGGAGAATTTGTGCTTCAACACAGTTTTGTTTGAGGTTCGGTTTGCTTCTGTCTTTATATATTATTCCTATTCACATCAACGATGTTGAATAAAATGCTTGTCCATAGGTCCCCCTGTGCATAAAGGGGAGCTGTTTTTCTCATAAAATAAGTCATTGCAAACATACACTTGTAGATAAGACAAACTTCCTTTTGATTTGGAAAAGTCTATTCTGTTTTGGGAATTTTTTTTTGAGATTTCATCTGGAATTTTCTTTTATAGGGCAAGCGACCCTTTCCTATTGAGCAGAATGCCTCTTTCCCCCTTTATTCTCCTGCCAATCATCCGCTGAGCTTGAGCCATCCATGCTATGCTTGACTCTTTCTTCTCCCTGTTCCCTGTTTTCATTCAGCAGCTCTTATATCACCCTCAATGCAACCCTTAGCACCTCAGGCTATAACCATAGGCATCAAATTGCTCTTACTGTGTCTGTGGCCCCCCACATCATAATGCATCCCACCTGTAATATCTTAGTGGCTCTCACACAAGGATTTTATACTTTTATACTCCTCCTTAGGATAAGTTCTCAAGTTTTCCATTAACTCCCATTTTAGTTTAATCTCCCATTACATGCATGGAATCTGACATTACATGAGGATTACATGTATACCTTGCTGTGCCTAATGGATGTATTTCTAAATCATTCATGTTTAATTTATGGAGTAAAAAAAAAAGGTATCTGAAAGATTTGTAAACAAACTTAGAAGAAATAAAATGAAAAACATTTTTAGGGAAAACATTGCATAAACTATAACAAATCATATTCATACCACACAATTATTAAGCATGGCTTTTCATTTGCCACTTTTCTAAAAGGACTGCTCTTTCTGGAGCAGGAGAGAGCCATTATTCCTTAGTGACCTTTAAGTCCCCATGTGTAAAGTCTCTGTTCTAACACTCTAAGAGGCTGTTTCCTGCACTAAGTCTGTTATAAAGGAAAGCAGACAGCTGTTCAGCTGCTTGGCAACAGCAGGTGTCTCCATGGGATGCCTTTGGAAACAGAAACGCTGGATTCCCCCACTGGGTGTAATTTTATGAGCACTGTAGGAGAATTTCTTTATGGCCCCTTTCTCTCCTGTACATAATATATAGTGATGACTCTTGTGAAAACCAACTCACATAACATTTTTAGAACTCCCAAACCTCATCATAGAAGTTCAGGGCCATCCAGGACATCTTGCACCTATCCACAAACCTTCGAAAGGAGCACATGTGTTGTATAATGATATATTCAGTAGCGTTCTATCACAGGAAAACACACCCTACCTTTATCTGTTTTACATATTGTTTTGCAGAGTGTTCCAGATGTTACAATTAAAATACATATTAATACTGTTTTAATGCTCCCACTGACCAGTCTCTAGACTGTAGACTGAGCAAAACAAACACCATTCTATTCCCACTTCCCTTATAATAATGTTCTTTTGCCCTTATTTGGCCTTTCTCTCCTGTGAGGATAGTATCCCTCTTCTCCCTATAGTTTCTATAGTATTTATATGACTGTCAAATATATATTGCCTTGGCTATACTGTTTTAATATCCCTCACTATAAGTATAGTGAGGGCATTATGCAAATGAAAAGAAGCAAAGGTAAGTTGAATTTACAATTTATTAAAATCAATCTTTGCAACCATGAATATTGTATTCAGCAATACAATTTTTTGTTCTTTATAAAAATTCAGATAATGTCTGATTCAAAAACACTTGGACTATATCCTAAATCTTAAGTGATATGTGAAACTTCTTAAAAAAAAAACAACTCATAGCCACTATTGGACCCATGGCACATTCTGAAAGATGTCAGAAAGTAGGGATAGCACTGTGATACTTTCCACTGAAAGTTCTGGCTCATAGGTGGAATTCTTCATTTTGCAACTTACTCAGTCCTGGACGTTTTGCTGACAGGAAGTGCAGCTAGGTATGCCTCAACTGAAAAGCTAACTTTACCTTGACCATCTATGCCCCACAAATACTTCCTCAGGGTACTAGAGCCACTTCTAAGCAGAAATTGAAGGTGAAGTCCAAAGGGAAGAAGAGGAAAGAAATAAGAAAAGGGGGGAGGGGAATGCTGATCCCTTACATCTCCCCAAAGAGAAAATCATATGAAACAGTTTCAGGACCCATGAAAGGATCTCATATCTCATATTTACAAATCATAAAATAATGTGATTCCTTTTGGAAAAAAAATCATAGAATCTAAATGTAGATGGCAATCACTAGATTATTATCAATCAATCAATCAATTGATCAATCAATCAATATGTGACTAATATTTTTGCTTTGTTTTCCATTAAGGTGACATATTTGTTTGATAATGGAGGAACGGTCTTCTTTGCTATTTTTATGGCAATATGGGGTAAGTAAGTTCTTCTGTTACTTAATTCCTGGTCCTCATTTTCTGAAGCTACTGCTGTGTTTCTTCACACATGTGCAGGCACACACATGTCCATTTAACAGTGAGACCTCTTGCTTTGTTTGCCCTCTTCACACATTCAGTGCTTCTTTGGGAATTTAACTATTGATCTAATCCTCTAGTCCCTAAAACCTCAACCTTCCTATACTAAGAAGTGTATTTTTCCTGCTGAAAGCAGGTGGTAATTAAGAACAAACATATGACTGAAAGATGTCATATGAATCCAAATGACACTTATTGTATTTCTGCTTGTAAAAGTGATGCTCAAAAATTTTTGTTTGCGTAATATTTCCATTCATCAATTTTTTAACCTTATACTTTATACACTTAGAGATACAGAATCTATTCCATATATGATCAAGCAATGATACCTAATACATAATAAATCTTGCTCTTATTTAACATCTTAAAACTGTAAAAATTATGTACAAATATATGCTTTGGCTGACTTTTCCCCCCATGATTCTCATTGAGTCTTTAAAGCACCCAATTAATTGAGGCCTAAAATAAAACAGTTTAGAATTTCCCACTCTTTGAAGAGAAGTGATTCTTTTCCTGGTTAGGGTCAGTTTTCCAACCATGGCCCTGTTGAAGGCAATGTCATTGTCAACTTAGCAACTCAAGGGGCTTACCATGGATGTGCTGATATAGGAAAACTAAATGTACTAGAGAACAATCTCTCACTCCTATTACTTTAATTTCCCACGCACAGAAACTGTGTATACTCTCTTTCTTGTTTTAAGTCAAAATTAAAAATAAATTACTCTTCCATTGTTCCTTGAAGAGAGTGACAATCTTGATGTATGGCATTAGGAGTATAGGGTTAATTAAATTATCAGGCAGGGCAGTCATGGTGAAACTCTTTAGTTTCACCTGATTCCCACAAACGTTTCCTACTAACAATAAAATAGACCAAAATACAAATTAAGGTTACTCAGTAGATGATTCAGCACAGCCAAAAATAGTAAGAAAGGAAACCTTTCAGATTATCGTCTGTTTCTGCTACTAGTCTCTTGCTTTTATGGTTCTCCTTGGCACAGGCCACATGACAGTGATCTTGCTTCAGCTTTTGGAGGATGGGTTTGTGAAAAGACTAGGATGTAGGCGATCATATGCCGTCAGAAGCCTTTCCTCTTGGTTTTATACCGAGGTACGAAGTTGAGGTATGTCATCCATAGGAATGCCGTCACGTACATTTTCTCGGCCTGCTGGCATAGATGAATCATTCATAGTTGAGTTATAATAACTAGAGTTCCCAAAACTCGCATCATAAGGTTCCGGTGCATTGTCTAATCGCAGAACTAAAAAAGTAACCAAAAAATAATTATTTTATGGTAACAGTCTGGAGGATGCATGCTGAGGCATCTGCCAGACTATAGAAATTGTTCTAGATGAGTAGGTTAAGTACATCTGTTATATGGGCTTTTCAGACACTAGGTTTGAAATTTAAACAAGTGCATATTTTTCAATACACATTTCTTTCCAAGACTAAGAGAACAGTTTAACTTGTAAAATAATTTTGTTGCCAAAGGACCAAAAATAAAGGAAATAAAGGAGAAATCACAACAAAAGGAGAGCAATACTTTTCATGAAGAAGTATAGACATATGTCTCATTGATTTTTGAATCTTGTGAATTTAAAGCATTGTCAACATGTTCAGAATTTTTGTTTCTGGTGCAAAAAATAATTTTTAAAAAGTGAAGAGCATTAATTTTAAATGAGAGTCATGATTTTACTAAGTATCTCAACATTTTTATGGTTGAGCCAGGGAAGATGGAGACAGAAGAAGACTATCTGTAAAAGCTTATGTTTCTTTATGATAGATCCTAGTTATCATGCACTTGACGTTTTCTGATTAACGTTATAAGAGATTATTTTTTACTTTTTTAACGAATAGCCAGTTATTACTATCTTAATGATCTTGAGTTTATTTTCAAAGAGAACTTGGCATGTACTAGGTACCTTTAAATATTAAAGCAGTGACTAATTTCTAATTAGATTAGTGATCTAATTATTCATTTAGGTAGTCTCATATTCTAGCTATTCTTTAAGCCATCTGTTTACAAACTGGGTTCCTGGTAACCTGGGGGAGCTGTCTTGAAAAAGTAAAACTGGTGATATGATTGAGTTATTCCCCTCGGCCTCAATCACATCTTAAATTGTATCAGTTTGATAGACTGAGCTTTTGCTTCTGATAACAGATAAAGAAAAGATTCTGGTGTTAAGGGAAAAAAAAGGTTGGATACCCCTGTTTTTGAAATCCTATCCTTTAATTTGGAAAAGTGCCACTTTTTATTTTATATGGATTGCTAGAAACCCCCAAAATAGAATTAAGTTAAATTTTCAATTAACAGATTTGGTTCTGAAGATGAACAATATGTCAGTCATGATCTGTACTTATTAAAATCAAAAGGCTTTCTCAACAGGATGTACCAGGGGCATTTAACTAGTTTTTTTGTTTTGGTTTTTGTTTTTGTTTTTATCATGGCAAGCATCCCTTATGTAAACCAGAAAACATATTTTTTTCTGTAGTATTAAAAAAATGAATCAATCATTTGAAGTTATTTCATTTCTATTCTAATTAGTATTATTGCATTAAGAACAAATTCAGTGCTTTATTCTTAACAGATAAATTTCTTTTTCATAGATGCTATGGTTGGTCTTTGCTATCACATGAGTGAAAAATTCCTGAATTACTGTGACTTTATGTACCCAAATATACAACTCTTTATAGATTCTGTTTTAGAGACTTATTAAAATAATTGATTGAGGGCAACTGTACCTGTGTAAACTTTAGAAGAACTCCAAATTAGAATAAGTCATTGTTCAGGGGCACCTGGGTGGCTCAGTCTATTGAGTGTCTGACTCCTGGATTTCCACTTAGGTCATGGGATCAAGCCTTGTATCAGGCTCTTTGCTGAGTGTGGAGCCTGCTTGAGATTCTCTCTCTCTTTCTTTCTCTGTCTCTCTCCTCCTCAGTCCTCCCCGCCCACCAACCTCTCTAAAAAATAAATAAAAACAATAAGTCATTGTTCAAATTCCTGCTGCTAAGAGATCCAACATGACAAAGAATGGCTTTGCAGTTAGTGCTAACAACACTGGCCATTTTTTCCTTAATAGCATGCCATTATCTTCCAATTTTATAGACATGTTTCAGGTTCTGGGATTTGGTTTATTTAAAAGTAATTGTGGGGGCGCCTGGGTGGCGCAGTCGGTTAGGCGTCCGACTTCAGCCAGGTCACGATCTCGCGGTCCGTGAGTTCGAGCCCCGCGTCGGGCTCTGGGCTGATGGCTCAGAGCCT